TTGTACATGTATGTTCTAAATTATTCAGTCATATTCAGTGTCATAATTTGATTCTGTAAACAACCATTTTGTTTCTGTTCCACATGATGTGCATCAACTTATAAAAAAAGCAAAAATAGAGCATCAACATTTTTGTATAAATTATCTTTAGTTCATCTTTGTGCATTGTTTTTGCCATGGAATATTAAACACAGTACTCATCATGAAAATATCCCAGTTGTGGTCATTATCTTGTTAATGTACAATAATAAAATAATTTGTACAATTACCTGTATGTACTCTTATTCTATAACTCAATTTAGATAATACAGTTTACTATTGAGAGAAGATATTTTGAACTGTAGAGGGCAGTGTTTGTTATTGCCCACTCACAGTAACTGTATACCAATAATGTGTGCGAATACCCTGGTCTAAAATGTTTTATATTTGATATATAAATATTTATATAATGTTTATTGATTATTTTTACATCTAGATATTGATGAGTGTGCCGTAAACAATGGCGGTTGTCAACAGCAGTGTAATAACAGTGCTGGAAGTTTTAAGTAAGTGACAAAACAACGCCATGACAACAATGTGTATGTAATTTGGGAGTCTCTTACAAAATACTTGATTGTTCTGTTTTTTGTGTTGTGTTCAGGAATTAAGTTCATTACCAATGTTCACTGTCAAAATATGCCTGTAACAGTTTGTGTATTTGTTGAAAGCTTCTAAAGTTCAAATTATTCTAAGTAATTATTTTGTTTTTCTTGACAGTTGTTTATGTAAAGCTGGATATGTTGTTGCCGAGGATGATTCCAAGTCCTGTGTAGATATGAATGAGTGTTTAGTTGTAAGTGTTTAATCACTGATGGTATTGTGTGGTGTAACTATCATCATCTTTGATATTAATGTCAGTTTTGAACCAAAGTGACATGATTTTATGGAAACAGGAAATGTCATTATATTTATCACTTTATCAGGTTTGATTGAGAAATGAAACATGCAAACAATGTACATTTCCTATAAGTCGTGCCCTCTCATGGCATATCAGTTCTGTGACTTCAAAATGACGTAGGTCGGTGTATTACGCAATGCCATTCAAATTGCTGAGCAGTTGATGGTAATTTTAAAAAATAGCAAATGTAAAAAAAAAAAATCATTGACGAATGGCCGTTAATCAAAACAATACTGATGCTTCCAACAGGGTCCCTTAGACACATTTACATCATAGAAATGCTTCATCGTTATAGCGCGTGCCATTCTATGCATCCAATTGTTGGCAGTAAAAATGTTGTTTTCTGTAATCGTGTATATTTT